AATATAAAACTATTAATTATAGTTGTAATGTACTACATCAATCCCCTCCATTTAAATGAAAACTCATCCTTGAGTTTTGCGTTTACAAAGAAAATTCATCAGGAGGAAAGTACTGCAAGAAATAGGTAACATTGAAAGTGTTGGAAATATTTATATCAGCTGGAAGGTCAACTTTATAAGGATCATCACCAATATTTTGAAAAATGCGAAAATGACCTATCTTCTTATCTTTAAGCTATTGTGAGTGCCAACCGAAAAAATGATTTTTTCTGAGATGGATCGTCGCCAAATCACCTTTGTTGAATAGTTTAAGACGTCGATGGTGGTATGCAACAGTCTTGTACTGAATATTAGCATTTTCTAAATTTTGTTTTTCCTTGTGCTTAATTCTTTGAATACATTCAGAAAACTTTTTCTACATTTGAACTGACATTTGGAACTCGAATCAAATCTAATGCATGTCGTGGAACATTAGTATAAACGATTTCAAATGGATTCTTCTTGGTAGATCGATTAAAACTCAATTTGTGCACGGACAACATCCTACTGTTTTGGTTTATTTTCACTAACTGCTCGTATCATATTGCCAAGAGTTCGATTAGCTACTTCCGTTTGACCATTTGTATGGGGATGATTTGTGCTACTAAACATCAAAGAATTGTCAAACATTCTCCACTGTATTTTCCCGAAGTTATCAGAAGTTTAGAACAAGGAATGCCGTGTAGGCGAACGATATCACGAAAAATTATATTAGCTACGTAAGAAGCATCTACAGTTTTCTTACAAGGAAAGAAGTGAGCCATCTTCGAAATCGATCAATTATGACCAAAACAAAATCAAATCCCTGTTGAGTTTGTGGAAGATTGAGATCTTGCCATATTGTTTCTGGAATAGGCAAAAGGGTATAAAGTCTAGTATTTATAGCTTGTCCCTTCGCTTTCTGACATAATGGACAATGCTGAGCAAAATGATCAATGTCTTTGTTAAGCTGTGTCCAATAAAATCTCTCTTCAACCAAGCTGATTATCTTATCTTAACCAATATGTCCTCCTAATCCACTTGCATGTTATTCTCGAATAAAGTGCTCACCAAAGAGGAACGAGGAATGCATAACTGAGTTCCTTTATACAAGAATCCTTCCTAAAGAAGATAATCGACTATAAATTCCCTACTACTGGATTGAGTCTATATATCACCAAAACATCAGTTGCATAAAGTTCTTTCAAACAATTAAACCTAACTACTTCAGTGCTAACTATAGCTAAAAGATATGCACATCGACTTAATGCGTCTGCTACTTTATTCTGTTGGCTCGACTTTTGTTTTATAACAAAAGTGAATTTTTGCAAAGTAGTGATCCATCTAGCATGCATTCAATTCATTATTTTTTGAGAATTAACAAACTTCAAGGAATGATGGTTTGTAAATGGCACAAATTCTCGTTGAATCAAGTAATGTTCCCGTGCTTTAATGCTCAAATAACGGCATAAAATTCTAACTCATAAGTAGTCCACTTTTGTCAAGATTCACTCACCTTTTCACTTAGAAATTTGACTGGGCGACCTTCTTGAGATAATACTACTCCAATTCACATAACGATCCCTAAAACATAATAGAAGAATATTCCCAAGCAGGTATTTAGTTAACATTAGTGGTTGACATTTTAAACTTACTGTTTTCCGATTAGTAAAAATATTACTCAACTTTAATTGGAATCCCTATATTCTTTTACTGTATTTGGTTGTTCTGTTCTAACTTCTAAAAAATAAGTAGGCTCGGTTCATGTAGTTGCTGCTAATTTAAGAATGAAGAACCATAAAATGTTGGCAATGTGCACATCTTTGTAGAAAGGGTACAAGAAAATGAGATGAGGGCCGTTGGGCTATTGGGGATGTAAGTACATAAAGTGCCTTTCCTAATTTGCCTGTCAATTGGCTAATTAACAGCCAGAAGTTACCTTATCTGCTCTCTCGAACTTGTTATCCCCACATGCATTTCTGGCACCTTGACGCATCACATATTCTTAGTGAATAGTGCTATTCATCAATTTTTATTTTATTTTATTATTATTATTATTATTTTTATCATCATCAATCTAAGTGATATTGAACCTCATGATTCATTGTTCAATCACTTACAACTAATAATGAATAGAATTACTCAGCGAACTAGAAGACACCTTAGTGGCAAATAATGTGTTGATGTCTTCCCATTTGTGAAGAAGAGCTAGTATGTCGAAGTGTCAAAAAAGTATTAGAAAAATGGTCCAGAGAAAATAAGTTTGGGACTGCAAAGTAAATCTAAATTTTAAACTCTTTTAAGAAAAATTTAGTACTCACAAGGAAGAAAAGCAAACAAAAAGAAGAAAATAAACCTATGATAGAATTGTTAATAGAATATTCGGCATTTTACAAAAATTAGGCTCAAATCCAATTAGTTGCTTGGAACCTGTTGAATTGAAATGAAAATACAAATCCATTATCTTAAATTCATAACCCAATCACTTCCAAATTCACGAAAGGCAAACCCTATTGAGCTTTCCCTCCCGTTGCCAGTGCACTTGTCCGTCACGCCCCTTGCCTTTACCTGCTGTCGGCTACTATTGAGTCGTCACCAATGCCGAGCATCTCCGGTCTTAGTGACTCGTGAAAGGTGATCCTCTGCCTCCCTTGACTCCTTTTTTTTATTTTTTATTTATTTTTTATTTATCATTTATGAGTTATTACTATAATTTGTGATACATAATTTAAGAGAAAAACCTGCCTAGTACATATCAAAACGATTATTTGGGATTTTGCAAATTATAAGTAATTTGTACAATTTTGTTAGTTTAATCGGAACTAATTTTAATTGATTTTGTTAAAATGCCTGTTTAATTAATTTTAATATTAAACTGATCGTGATATGTTCAGGTAAGAGACTACGTGTATTGATCCTCTAACCTCATCGAATTATATTTTAATATGTATATATTTTTACGTTTTTTGTGCATATACATATAGATTGAAGAATTTTTAATATTATTTAATTAAATATTAATAAATGATCTTGTTGTAATAATCGTTGACTATTGAAGGACAATGGACCGTTGACCGTCAACGGTCAACTACCGCCTAGCTGACTTCCATTCTTGGATTTGCCACTGCCTGAGGCCTAAAGAGAAAAGTACTAGACATGCTTCATTTTGTCATTATTGTGATCAACTGAACTGATTACCGGAGAAAGTGTGAACTAAAAGCAAATTTAAACCATGAATCCACCAAGTACAAGGTAAATCAACAATCTGGTATCTACACAGACAAAAAGGAGTAGCTATTTTTCGACAATTTGAAACAGAATTATTGCATAATTCTGTGTGCTTGATGAACTTCCCAAATACTGGTAATGTAATGTACCTAAAAGCATTTCTTCTTCCTGGGTTCATTTCAACTTTGATTTATTTATGTACCTTGTGCTCCTCTCTTAGAGGTGTAAGCATATTAGCAATATATTCCTACAACTTCACTGGAGGACTTCCCTTCAATCCACAACACGTAACAATTTCATCACGTGTTCCTAAAGGGACCAACCACATAAGTTCGTCAGTTTAACATGCATATAACAAGATCGAGTTTAAAGAATTGTGGATAGGATAACACAAATAACAAACATTCACTAAAGAAAGAAGGTCCTCTGTCCTCAGAATAATCGATCAATCTGAATTAAAAATCTAAGAGGAACTGACAATAGGAAGTAGTGCACCAAAGTTTCTCTATTGTGACAAAACTGAAAACAAATTACTGAATCATTTTGCCCTCTAAGTTCAAAAAATATTAACTTCCACTATTTAGTCGTAAAACCCTTGATTCCATGTCTTCTCAAGAAACAAGTGGGCTATTTCTTTAAAATTGTGCTCAATTTCATGTGGCAATTCCATCAAGCTCCCTTCCATAGTTGGGGGGAGAATCTGCACGAATTGGATTTTTAAGGAACGTATCTAGAGAGAATTTGATTTTGTTAGACAATGTGTGGTTGATAAATAAGGATCAGTTTTTTTAAAAAGGTATGGAATGTCTTCAAATTTTCAATATGCTATAAGCTCTGATGTTTAGACTCTTAGTCGAAGTATTCGTCTCAGACACAATAGGACACACATTGGAATGAGTATGTGATATATGTTGGATCCTCTAAGTTTCAATTGGCCACTTCGTCATTTTTGTTTCTTCATTCTTCTTCCTTTTTTTTTTTTTTTTTTCATCTCTTTATGCCGAGAGATGGAGAAAGGCATTGGCGCTAGGTTTCTCCTACTTTTTCTTTTTCATCTTTTTTTCCTTCTTCCGTCTCTATATCTGTGGTTTAAGATTTTGTTTGTATAAAATAAAAATGAATTCCATATTGTTCTACTTAGTTCTTCACTAAGTCTAAATCGCTATCAAATCCTTTATTTTCTGTTTTACAAACCATTTAGTTATTCCCATAATCGAAAACTAAATCCCAAAATTGTATTTTATTCGTCTTAACTCCTCATTCGATACCCATTTTCTTTTTTGTGAATAATTGATTTTGATTTATTCAAAATGACATTTTGATTTAGTAAAAAAATTGAAATTTGAAAAACGCACTCACATACCCGTGTTTGAAACTTGGACTCTTTTTAATCATGTTCACATACTCTACATTTCAGAAAATAAAATATCCGACATACGTACCCGTACCCTATATCTGTATCTGAGTCCAAACATTATAGGATATAAGTATGCCAGTCCCTCTTATATTTTTCCATGGACATGGCTATACATTTTAGAAAATAAAAACCCGACACTTAGATACGTACTCGTACCTGTATCCAAGCATCATAGGATATAAGTATGCCCCGTCTTATATTTTTTCAAGATTGTATGTCCAGTCTTCAAGCCACAGGCCACGACCATTAGGCCATAAAGAGGCTTCACAGCATTCTAGGAAGAACAGTTCTTTTAAAACCATGCTTAGATTTGGTCCATGCAAATATAGAAGCATGATTCTGGAAAAAGCTGAATGGCTCCTTTATTTACACATGTACCCATTATTTCTAGCTCAACAGACAACCATGCAGTTCTTAGCCAAAAGGTTTTACAGCTGAATCATGGAGATTTCCCGTCAGAGGTGGACCATAGTAGCGATGGACAACAATAGAAAATACAAAAAAGGATTTAATGATATCATAATACTCAAGTAAAAACCCTCGTCTCATTCTTTGACATGTAAAAGAAACACCAGAGACAGCTATTTCAACTTTTCCACGTCCTCCTCCTCCAGGACATTCATGCAAATCCTGTCTGTTTTGCTAGAGTAATTACCAAGTGAAAAAAGGCTTCCAATACCGGTCCTTCCTGCTGTAAAAGTGAAAAAGAAAGAAAATGATATCTTGATCAATGTTGACTTTTTCATTGAAAATATCATCAAAAGCAGGTAAGAAATATGGAAATAGAATAACGAGTTCATAAATAGACATTCTGCAAATGAAAAACAACTAATCATATAATCAGTTAATTCTCTCCATCAATCATATTTAGTAAAAATCCAACCCACCTCCCTGCGAAAGAAAAAGAAAAAATAAAAAATACAGTATGATTTATGGCACAAATGTGACTTGAGTGATCAAATGAATTCCTGTACCATGAGACAAAATTAGAACATTGCCACGCACAAGTTGTCGCCTGAAACAGTGCTTTCCCACCCAAAACACCTACTATGGCATCAACCCACGTTCATGGCCAAGAAACCGAGATTGATCGTTCTTAGTCTAATGTAAATTAGTTTACTACCCTAAAACTTACAAAAATTAAAAGCTAAGGCCGGATGCATATGCACCTAACAAACCACAAGCGGAGTAGAAATCTCTGAAGTATCCCATGAATCAAGTAGAGATTTCAGTGTGAGAATTTTTTGGGGGAACAATCATACTATATTATATTAATTTATTTTCCGATTTGACTATCATAATCTACATCCTACTAGAAATGTCCAAACACAAACCGTCTGTAGATCCTATCTAAAAAATTCCAAACGGGAAAGGGAAGTTCGTTGATTTCTATGCTCTTAAAACCCCAAAACTTATTCTAAGATTGTTTTCACATTTTTGAGTCCTATCACGAATAACAAATTTATGGTTGAATTGGATGCAGACATGACATTTTTATGACTTGTGCAAAGCAAAGATCCAGGAAAACAATCAATTTCACAGTTGCCCATTTGAAGTAATAACCACAAAAGTTCTAATTCTAGCAAAACAGTTTTCTTGTCTAAAATGCTCTAAACACTAATTTGTCACACGGCACATTAGCAATACTACTAGTAGACCCAGGAACTAATGAATAAACCAGTTATTTGAATTTGTACATGACATGGAAGTAAGGTCTTGGTCCATGGGTAAAAAGACATGTTTAGAGGCCTTGAGGTCATAAGATCTCAATTTGAAGTTCCATCGGTAATGTTGTCCAGTTATGTGATTATTTTTCATTTCTTTTACTCATGGCTCATGCATCATTTATTGTATATGTGGGTTTAGAATTTCAAATGAAACAAGCAGCAGCAATAAACAAATGACTTTGAAATCAAAGAGCAGAAAACAGTGATTATCTGGGATGTAACAAGGTGATTTTACCATCACATGCTTTTAGAACCACTTGATAGTTAACAAAGCCAGAGAAAAGTGTTGTCTGCAATTAAAAGCTACAATAATCAAAACGTTTGCCAAGTAATAATCATTAAGCAGGACACACTAACAATGATCTGTATCGTTCAAGACCTGTGAGGTTAGAAACAGCAGAAATGAAACGCATACTAAAAAACTACCACATATATAAAAGAAAATGTTTAGACTTTTAGTTGTTTTCTCAGCAATCCCCAACATAATTAAAAACGAAGCCAAGTAATTTTGGACTAAATAGTGTCAATTGATTATAGAATATCAAAAAAAAAAAAAAAAAATACAATTAGGAGAAAAAAAGGAAACTCTAGCAACATTGTATGACCAGAATAAAATTCCAGAGAATTTTAGTGAAGGCAATCATTTTACACTCAGAAAATTCCAAAACATAAACAGAAAGTTGGGAAATAAAGCTACCAATTTTATAGTCATACTTCTTATCTAAGATAAATAAACCATTGAAAAGAATGAGAAGATCAAGGGAACACCCAAAAAACTTGAACTCCATCATCCCCACTACTATTCCTTCGGTGCCGTGGTCTCTCTGGGTCCTCGCATCTTTGTTGGGCGAGGTGGACCGCTGGGGATTTTCACGATTTTGGTCTTCCCTTGAGGAGCGAGGACTGCTTCTTTGTGATGATTGTGGGGCATCCTAACATTCGGTAGTGTTATATCCGTAGAGGCGACGTAAGTGCAATATTTTGGATCTTCTCTTATGCCGGCCCCTGGATAACGTCCTCCTTGACGGTCCTACTTCGGCATTTGCACTTGGTCCAGTGTTCTCGTACTTCAAAATTGGGACCACGTTCAACGTGGCAGAAGCGAGAGTCGAACTAGAGGTGGGTGCTACAGTGTGCCCAGCTTGGGTCCATTGTTGGGTGATGTGAGGTGTGCCAAGGGTCCTCACCCTACCTGCCTCTGAGGCGATGAAAATCCCTGCACCGCACGATTTTGATGATCAATTATTTTTTCATTGATGATCTCCACTCTCATCATCTCTCCGCACATCTTGCCAAAACAATGTATTCATATTCAGGATTCCTTTCAAAAAAGCTGAAAGGGCCTCTCTATATATGACCTGTCCGCAATAGGTTATCTCATCAGTGAACTCTTGAATGTCTCTTCAGGGGCTTGCCTCATATCCTGCAAGCATTGCACTAGTGATAAGTTTCAAGAATGCTTTCTTTACATCGGGCCAACTTCTCATGCTTAGTGGCTGAACTAGACTTCAGCCGCTTCGGCTAAGGTCAGGTGGTAAGTTCTACATTTTAACACCAGTGAGGCTCTTCTTAGGCTCATATGCATCATGTATTTAATGAGGTGTTTCTCTAGGTCACCTTTTCCCTCATACTTTGAAATTTTAGAGGGCACAAAGTTTGCAGGCATTGTGAAGCTATGAATTTCTAGGAGGTTGTCGTCATCGTCATCTATCTTATATGATTGACATGGTCCTTCAAAGTTATTCTCATTTGTATCGTTTTGGAAGGAGGCTGGGAAGCTTCCTCCCAGTTCTCCCAATCCACTACTTTCCTTCTCTCACGCCTATTTATAGGCGGAGATCATGCCTCTTAATTTAGTCCTTGCTTTTGCTGGACTGACCTCTGGACAGAGCGAACTCTGCTAGTTAGATTTTTCCATATCCGGTCAAATACACTAACCGACCTCTGAGGCTCATATTTTGGTGGAAAGTTTTCTCCCAAGCAGAGAATCCACTACCTGTGTGCCTGCCGCATACAAGGAGACATCCGCCCTTACTTCCATTTCAATAGGGGGCTCTCTTCGGTGGCCTAAATGGCCTCGGCTATGTGATGTAGGGTGTTGTGAGACCTTTCTAGCATTTGGAGTTCCTGCTGGCCTTGGACCTACATGAGGAGTTCATATACGATCGCGTTTTAGGTTACGATGTCCCTCATACTTGCAGCCAATTGGGCTACTTCTACAATTAGCCTTACTGTCACTCCATCTCCTTGACGATGACGATGGTGAGGCTTGGGTGTGTAATATTTGTCCAAAACACCTCTTTTTCAGAAGCGTTCTCATCCTTTTAGGATTAATGTCTTCAATGCTTGAACTCATCTTTTTTCAAGGGTATTTAGACTAGATTGCTGACTTTGATTTAGTTCTCTTTCAACAACGTCCCTTTTTCAAGGGAAAATATTTTCTCTGAATTCTCCGGTGGCTTTTCTCTGCTGTAAATAGGAAACATTAAAATAGTTGGTTTCTACAGACAGTGTCAATCTGTTGACCCCGCAAATTGGACCCTCCATTTGACTAACGGAGAACTTCTCCACGTGATCCTCCATACGCACAATAACAAATGGTCAGGCGTATATGGTTAGTACCAGCGGTGGTGGTGATGGTCATATACACTCTAACGATCAAGTTAGTCGATGGTGGTGGTTGCGGTGGTGCCGAAATGCGCAATGCTCAAGGGGAGGAGAAAATGTGATAGCTTGGTTATGGAATGCTTACCTTTGTCTCCGGCCAAGCCTTTGGTATTTATAGGCAAAGGGGGTAACCGCAAGATGTGAAACACGTGTATTCATACAATGGTGTGAAGTGTCTGCTTGTAAGCGTCTATCAATCACTTCCTAGATGGATGGGCAATTAATTTTTCTGATTTTGAATTGACATATGACAGAGGTGTTACGTCAATCATTCCTAAAGATACAAAGACAATCTTGACCAAAACATCGATTTGTGAAACTGACGGCGAAGAAGTACTTCTCTCATTCTCCGCAACATAGCGCCTTAGTTACCTCACGCTTCTGGAGGTACGCCTCAGAACATTTGAACGCCTCGAACAACATCACTCCGATGACCTCACATCTCGATCATGACATTCACACGCCGAGTGCCACGTGTGGCGTAACGTCAATTTATTAAAGAAAATTTTGGAAAATTTATTCAAGAATCGAGAAAATTAATTTAAGCATTATATCATTAGAGATCAAACTTTTCTTGTTTTAATAGTGGTTAAATTTGTCATCATGTATCGTACTTCAAGTGGTAATGAAAAAATTGATGAAGCTTATCAGCCATCATAGCCTACTAGCTTGTCTTAAGTGAGTGGATAAAAACTTATTTTTCAGAAATAAGTATTTATTAAATTATTACTCGATCAAAAATTTAATTATTTCATACATTTGGTTTGACAGCATAATTTTTAGAATAAAATGATTTTATAGTAAGTTCTTTTAAAGTTAATTTCAGTGCAATTAAATCATTTTAGTATAGTTAAATAATCCTGTTAGTATTAAATATTTCAGCATATTTAAAGTTATTTTTAAAACCACTATAAAGCACTCAAGTGATTTTACCCTAGTCTACACTAATGTGAATGTATTTCCACAGTGTATGACAATATATGATTATTTTACTCACTATGCACTGATGGTGTATCATCAGTTATAGTGTTTTATCCACTCTGCACCATTGTGAATATTTTTTCAAAGTGTATGACCAGATTATAGCCTTTGGGTAGCTCGGTGTGTGCATGACCAGAATTTTAGAATTAAATAGCTTTGTCGTGTATGTAATATCCCAAACTTCACGTTATACATTTGACCATTTGCATCAATTTTCTAATTGCTTTCTCTTAAAACGGTATATTCGATCATCGAGGCTTTAAAATCTTTACATGGTGATAATTTTCCACTCCTCGACCCAGGTGGTGAATTTTACATTGAGCTTTGATAGAAAATTAGGTTAACTAAATTTTGGAAATTGGGTTGGCAAGTAATGGAAAATCGAGAAGGTCGGAAATTAGTATTGACAAAGATTCAAGCTTTCCATTCTGTTGATTGAGGTCACCTTAAATCCTAGATATGTAATTGACATATTTGAGACATGACGCATGAAGTGACATGATCACAATACAATAAGATATGTCTTATAAGATGTTATAAATATCGAGGTGCGAATTGTTGAAATCGGTTGACAATCGGGTGTCAATCAGGTAAGTCATTATATGAACATTGAGGAATTAGCTCTATAATATATTTTGGGATCTTAGGGCAAGTGAAATGGATTGTAAACACTTTAAAGTAAGCCAATGATACTTGACTTGTACCTGCAAAGATATATATAAAATCAAATTATACTACAAGTGACCACCTCATGCTTGAATACTTCGTGCTTGGGATGTTTGTCATTTTAACACTCAATTTTTTCAACCTTAAGGCATTAATCTCGTGTCTACTCCCTAAGAACTTAATGTAGGATGAATATATATTCTTAAAAGTCACAAGTGGACCCAAAGATGATGGTTGAAAGTCAAGTATTGCTGCAAAGAAGACACATCGTGCTTGGACAACTCATGCTTAAGAATACTTGTCCTTTGTTCATATTTTTCTTCACCCTT